AAAGATACAACACACACAGAAAAGCAAAAACCACATTATGTTTCTCAGACATTTTTGCTATTAGGTGACACATAAACCAGATTAAAGGGCAAGTCTCAAAATACTTGTGAAGTAAACACTGCTTTTGTTTCTGTTAGACATGAAGATTGCAACTGTCTCAAACTCTGGAAATGTCTCCTACATTTTGAAGGGTGAAAAGATGTGTCACAAAAAATTTTTGAGAACATTTCCAAAATGTAGTAACAGTCACCATTTTTAAGACCAGAAACATCACCTTGTCTGATGTCCTACAAAGCACACGGCAAAAAATGCATTCACCCAGTAATTTCAACAATAAAATAATTCTCTATAATGGACCCAGAAGTTTCTATTCTTTCTTGGCCTATTCAATCCTTAACTTTGGTGCAATAAATATCTTCAGCATCAGACACTGAAGTATTTCTGTAATAACAAAAGCAATAGATGTACAAACCAGTGCCTTTTTTCTAATTCTACAAATACAAAACTGTCTTGGAAATGATGACCTAAATTTGTCAGTTCACTTGTTTTACACAGAGATAGCAGCAAAAAGACTAAGAGATAATAGAGGCCAGTAACTGCCCATTCATAACTTACATTAAAATAAGACACAGTGCTACACACTTCATAATTTCACTTAAAAAAATAGATAAAGAAATTTTTGCATACGTCTATACATCTGTACAGTTTGGAGAGACACACTAGAGTCCTTCTGACAGTAGGATACCACATTCCATGCAGATCTGCTGGTGAAATTGTGGTCTGGTGCCTGGCATTAAGGGATTCTGCTGAACCTGTTTAGAAGTAAAATATACACACATGAAAATCTTGCCCATCTATCCTTTTAGCTGAAGGAGACTGCAATACTGACTCTACTTTATACTGACCCCCTAGTAATAAGACACATTTTATTGCACCCAAACAGGTTAGGGTTTTTTTCCTTCTCAGCAGGTCAGCACTAGATTTCTGATGTGTATAGAGCATGCCTGCGGAAGACATGAATTCGCTTTCAGGGATGGCCCAGCTCGACCTTTTTTAATGAGTTAGTTTTACAGGCATGACTGCAATGACATCTCCCCCCCCAACACACACACACTTAACAGCTGAAAAGATCAAACAATTACTGGGAAAAAAAAAGCATAGGAGAAAAAAAAAAAAAAAAGGTTAGTGATCATGGAACTACAGGATACACTCTGGAAAAAAAAAAAAAAGGAAAAAAACATTCCATCAGTTCACTTCCTTGTGCTTTCCTTTTTGGTGAGGATAAATCTACATGGATTAAACAGTTGCAGAAAGTCTAGGGTTTAAACATCATGTTAATAATTGCAAAAATAATGGCAAAAATTTTTGTCATGAGGGGGTTGTAAATATAAGAGTGCTCCTCCTGAGTAACCTTCATAATAATTCTGTATGCTCAAAATGGATTTTCACAACATCTGATAGACAGAAGTCTTATATTATTTTCATTTTGTCCTTAAATCCTGGGAAACAGCTGAGGCAATAGCATCAAAACTCTGATTCCAAATAGCAACCATTCAAAAAAGTAAAATTTTTTAAGTTTTACCAAATGATGGAATAAGCACTCATGAAGTGTTTGTGTGAGCTATGTGAGAACTGTCTAAAATAATTCAGCAACATCTTTCTTACCTTTTGCAACAAAAAATTTATCATCACAGTCATTAGAAAGCCTGTAAGACCTTAGATGTCAGTTTGAGGTACCTAGACTATTTATTAGTCACTTCAGCTACTCCTGCAGGCACTGAAATGGGAGGGAGGCACCTTTGAAAGGCAAATAATCCCAATTATCTCAAACACATCTCCAAATTACACCAGTGGGTTCTCTTCCATCTCCTGAATGCAGGTAGGATTTACAGTACTTGAGAATGCCACACACCTGCTTGAAGCAAGATGAACTCCACTCAGTGGGATTTGTGAGTTCAGCTAGAAACAGCCAGAAATACTTTTGCAGGCCTTGCAAGCCAAAAGCAAGAAACTATCAGGTAATCAAAAGGAATATGAGAAACAACTGATAAAGAGCTAGGAAAGGTGCTGCTGAGAAAAATAACACTGTACCATTCTGAATAATGATAAAACAATTCTTCATGGATTTTAGACAAAAATTTAAAGGATTGTAACACTCAAATGACTGGCATCCAAAGACCCACATTTCATGGAATTTGTTTCCAGTTCACTGTGATTTACAGGCACATGGGTCACATTTTAAAAGTCTGAATTACTGTAAACAGCTAAAATTACTAACTGGTTTCAGTAAGTGGAAACGCAGTCAAAGCAAGAAGTCGCCTTCCCAAGTAAAGGCTAGAATCCTAGATGCTCAAAGCATTAAATTAAGAGACATGCCTGACACACCCTCTCATCTTAGCACAGCTAACAAACTGAAGCATCCTTAAGTACACATCTTGATGTGAGGGCTACTTTGCAGTAAAGAGCACAGAAGCTCAATTTTATACAAAGTACAACAGATACTATCAGCTACAAAAGTAGTTGCTTCACAGAGGCCACCAAAAGAGCAAGATTAAATTGCTTCTCATTCAAAAAAAGTTATTAAGAACCCTGAGACAATTTCACCTCTCAACATTTCTTATGAATTTCTCTAGGAAAACAACCCTTTAAGATATATGCAAATTTCTCACTGATGGTTCAAGTTAATGTTCACTCTCCATGATCTTTATGCATTAATTTGACAACATGAGATGTATTTCATACCAGATTTAACTAAGCTGCAGGACTCAGGATCTTCTAGTCGGACATCTGAAAACGAAGCTTCAGATGGCAGCTTCTTCTGTTCCTCTTTTAAACTCTGTGCAATTTGCTGCCAAGAAAAACATACCACAAAATTAATTTTTTTTCCTCCTAAAGGAGCACTACGCTGCTTTGATTACAATAGAGAAAAACATACTAAATTGCAAAAGGAGTCAGCTACACTCAGCTCCCCAATGTTTCAAAAACATTAAAAGATATCAAGACAGATGTTGCCAATACAGTAGCAGAAATGTTTCAATATCATTTAGGATTCACAAATATTACACAGATCTGTGTAAAGCACTGTTCCTTCTGTTTTGCCTCTTTTTACTGATCTCTAAATAATAACCAGTGAAGCCAAGTAGAAAGAGAAGCTCAATACAGGAGAACCCAATTCAAAACTCACTTGGATTTCATACAGATAATTTCTGTGATGGCTTTATTCCTACAAATGATATGTGCTGATGGCACTAAAGTACTCTCTAGTTTATTCCCTGCAGGAGTTCAACAAAAAGGTTTCCCCTAACATTACTCAACACTTCCACACTTCAACCTTTTTCACTACTTGGTCTGCTTCAAAGCAACAACAGGCAGCAAGAACGAGCAAAGAACTGCATTAATATTTGAGCAGAACAGCACAAGAAATATTTCTGCCCTGTGCTTTTAACATTTTAATAATTTATTTACTCAGAGAGAAGGTCTCTAAATAGCAAGTTTTTGAGGTTTAAAAGCAATCAAGTAGCAAAATGAATCTCAAACCAGGCAAAAACACAGAGTCTTATGAGGACATATGAAGAGCAGAATAATTCCTCAACTTAGAATGAACTGTAAAGCTCACTTCTTCCTAACAGAATGGCCACAGGACCCTAGTTAGAAAAAAGGCCTTGTAGACTAAGTATCTGCATTGACTGCCTACAGCAGTTACAGCTAACATTAAAAAGTTCTCACAACCTTTTTTTCATCAGTTCTATTCACACAGTTTTAGAAAAAAAAAAAACAACAACCAAACCTGTACTCTTAACAGTTATACTGGTAAAACTTCTGATCACTAGTTGTTCTGAATGGAGGCATCCCATTTAGCTATACTTCATGTGGTGGGGTTCTCAATTACTATATTTGCTTTTTCTTCAGAAGCTTATTCATCCTTAAACTTGCAGCATAAAGGGCAAGTATTCTACAAACTCGCTAGCTTCAGGATTTCTAAATGCTCTCCTAAAAACCTATGAATGTCCCTTATAATCACGAAAGCACCAACTACAACATAATAAAAGCTTTAGACATGTATAAAGACAAGATTATAGCAACATGAGCTCCCTACTACAAAGTTTCTTAGTGCATGTTTACAGGCAAGAACCGAACACAAAAATGTACCATTATACAATGTTAATTTCTCCCAGCCCACAGCAAAAAATACATAGCTATAAAGTTTCTGCATTTTATATAAGTAGTGCTCTGATACTGAAGTCAAACAACAGCCTCTCTACCAAGTAGTCAGTTGTAAATAAGTCCTACAATTTGCTAAGCACCACCAGCTATTCTGATAGATAGACAGAAAGCAGAATAGAGCAATAAAATCTAGTCTTGCCAGTCCATGTAGCAATTGTTGTTCTTAGACAACTCAATCCTTTGACAGCTTGGGCCTCTCATTATAAAGTGAATGGCAACAATTATTTGGGGGATCTTTATTATGTTTAATCCCTTCCATGTAATGCTACCTTTCAGTCGCATATTAAATGCAGTTTGCTCTAGCCAAAAACTAATTTAAAGTCTTTCATTAGCCACTTTATTTCTGTGAGTAGTTTTATTCTAAAATACTAATAACAGGAATACTGACTCAAAGGGCTTTCAATGACTACAAAAATGGGCAATACTGGTAAGAATTTAAATAAAGGCTACTGGAAACCATTGCTGGCATGTTAAATCATCTAAAGGTACAAGCAAGCCTCCACTCACACTGTCTGAGCATAGTGTACACCACCATAGTGCATACCAAATACTAGTTGACCAGTAATTCTGAAAACAAACTTGCAGCTAACTGTGCCAGTCTAAGGCTTCTCTGCAACTCCGGCTCAACTGGAAAATAGACTGGGTGATATCTGCTATTTATGAAAGTAAATAAAAATATACTGTTATGAGAGAAAAATTCAGAAGCTTCAAGTTTAGATAAAACTGTTAACTGTGAGAACTATCTCCAGTTTTACTGGGTTTGACATAAAATGTTCTCTGACATCTTAGGGTCATAATTTAGTCAGCAGGTGTCAATTTGTTAGTAGCACTAATGATAAATACACCTAAGAACTGGAAAATCTGATCTGCAAAACACTATACTACACAACTGTATATACTGCATGTAAAAAGAAAACAAATCAAGGACAACAAAACCGCCGATGCTATACCTCCATCATTTCCAACTTGTCGGGATATGCAAGATCACCTGGAGCAGGCTTGTAGCCTGTGATATCAGTCTGAATGTAAATATGCGTCCTATAGACAAGACGCTCCTGTACATCTTCCAACATCTGCTTGACACCAGCTGCAAATGCACCCAGTTGTTCAGCTGGCAAAAGTAAAAAAAAGAAGTACAAATTTGTTAAATTAATTACAAAACAAGCTTATAGACGCAGAAGTTTGCAGTACAGCATATAGAACCACTACAAAACTAGCTTGCTGCAGATAGATCAGACTATTTTTGGAGCAGTGGCATGCAGGCAAATTTGTGACAAACAAGAAATTCCTGAACTTCATATTGCAGTTCCTTCAGCTTCCCAAATACTCATTAGATTGTGAAAATGCAATCTCATACTGGTAACAGCAGATGCCATGTTAGAATTAAGCATTTTAATTAATTGAGACCTGGGTACGTCGAGTGGCACTTCTGCCTGGACACCAAACCAGCATGCTTTGGTTCTATCATAGCCAATGCCTGCAGTGTGACTGTCAGGAGTTGACAAGCTAATTCATCTATCTACCTACCAGAACAGATGATCCAAAGCAACTCACATCCAACTTAAGAACTATTATATCAGCCTGAGTCTAAGTAGTAAAAAAATCACTACTTAAGATTAGCCAAAAGATTATGTCACAAATTTTTTTCTCATTCCCAACAGTGTTACAATTCTACTTCCAGGAAAATAAGCAGTTCTTTGTGATACTGGCATAGCTTCAGAGACAAAGAGCTACGCTGTGTTATATACCAGCTACCAAGTATGATATATGTTTACCACTTGGTGCAAGGTTAAAGACTGAAATGATTCCAATATGCACTGGTCATACTAAGGAAATGAGACAGATATTTTTACTGATTGTCAGCTCACTGTTATGAAACTATGAGCTCTGTGAACACTTTCAGAACTCCAAAATCTCTATCAGGTATGTAAGTCCTCTGCTGAAGTTACAATTCCTAGTCTGAGAAACACTATGTCAAGCAGAATGAAAAATGAGGTTTGCATTCCTTTGTTTTATCATCATGTATGCAGAAAGCTCTACACAGATGATGCATCAGCAGGGCCAAGCAAAGAAATCAATTCATTTGAAATGTTCATTTAAATCTATCCTGGTGTATGTATAAGCACTGGGTGGATGCTTGGTTGCATCTGTACAATCTAGAGAAAATAGGACTCTATAACATCAGTATATTAATCCAGGGAATCTAGATAAAATCTAGGGATTTTTTTTTTTTGCCTAGGCAATTTAATAATTATATCAGTTGACAGTTAAAACCAATAAGGTTCCATCTAAGAGTTACCATTGTTCTGTACATGATCTTCAAGCATCTCATTTTTGAGAATCCCGCAGAGTTCCGAAAGTGTCTCTAAGTGAATGACATGGATGATCATTGGCCTCAGGACATCATACAATGAAAGACACAGCTTCTCCAAGAGTTCACTATGAAGAAAAAATAAAACAAAGCAAAACACTTTCAGGATTCCACAATATGAAAATAAAACTTTATCACAAACATGGATTATTCTATGGCAAAGATTTTTCAAAGGAGGGTGAGAAAATGCAACATGGTATCAGAGAAGACTTAAGAAAGGACTGTTTAAAACAAACCCCTGATTTCCTACAAAGCCTTTTAAGACATAAAATGCTTAAAAAGGTGTTAGAGTTTTGAATTCATTTTAAAATAAAAACCCAGAAATAACCAACTAACAACTCAACCTGTCAGAGGGGGGAGATAATGCAAATTGGTTTACTTGGCTTCTGTGTATGGAAATGCTCCTGCTGAGCTCCAAAATCATACCCCCAATTTCCTCTTGAGAAAAGGCTCATCTTTTTCCAAGTATTCAACAGTTTATTAGAACCAGGAGCACACGAAGTGGGACACAGGAGAAGCTTTGTAGCCTTTCCTATAACAACTTCCAACACTGCAGGGCATGCTTTCGAATCTAACTGACATTATGGTATCAATGCAATATGAGACACCAGAAATCCCACTTTATTTTTTTCCCTTCCATGTTCAAAGTCATGCTTATCTTGGTTAAGACACCAGTAGCATTCATTCTAGACATTTCTGCCATTCTCAATGGCACTTCACTAATCACAGATTAGCTAATAATTCAAGTAATTCCCCAGTTAGGCCTGGAAATACAAACACTAAGAATATTTAAGTATTTACCGTGTGGTACAGTCATTGATTTTATTGCACTACTTTTTTTTTTAATTAATGAAGAATGTCTGACAATAGGACAAAGACACTTCAGTTCCTTTCAGACAGCAGACAAAAAATGCTCACAAACATTCTGAATGTTTCTATTCTGTTGCATTATATAGCTTTACAAGCAACTTGATAAAACAGTAATTCTCTATGTTAAAAGCATAAACAAAGGAGAAAGTTTCAACAGCCTTATTAAATACAACACTCAACCTTGGATGTCTACTCTTGACTAGATTTTTGGTAAACTTATCAGAGCACCTCAGCACTTCAGATAAAAATGAGGCTATTTATTAGGCAGCTAATAAAAACCTAATAAAGTAGTTACTCTTTGAAATATTTTCTCCAAAATATTTTACTTAAATGTCGGAAAAAAAGGGAAGTAAGTTCTTATGAAAGAAGGTAACTATTTTGCATCAAAATCAAAATTAAAAAATAAACAGAAGTCTATTCTCAATCTTGATGTGAAGAACAACAGTGATAAAATTTCTCTCTGAACAACATTTTACACTGATTTCAATTAGGAATGTTAACTTCAGGACTTGGACCAAGATAGCTAAATTGGTTCTGAAAACAATTAAGTTAGGTCACCTCAAATCCTGAGCATGTCCCACACAAGACCTCAATTACTCAGAAAAGACTGCTGTTACTCTGGCACTATGGCTTATTTCTAGTGAGGCTTTACGCATTTATGGTTTTCTTTCAGCAGGTTGGATAGTGGGCAGTATTTTTTCCAAGTTACACTAATTCAACTCAAGATGCACTTGACTCTAAAATAATACAACACTCAAAAACAGTGTCTCAGTTATATTAATAGAAACACACTTTACTTATGAACATCATAGCAAGGGAACATGACCTGCCCAAATTTCAAAATTAAATATCATTATTAAAAGATACCAGCAAATTGGAGAAGGGGTATAATCTAATCAGTTGCTCTAATATTACAGGTCTGTTGTAAAAAAACCTACAATACTTTCATAATGCAATTACCATGTGAAGACAACAACCTGTCCCTCTTCTAGATCTAGGCAGAGGAGATACAGATACCCTTCTCAGGTGTCCACTACTCTGCCTTCCATTCAGACCACACACAGGCATATGCAAATATTCCTTGACCATAAAGGCAGCTCAGTAAGTCTAAACCCTTGATGAAAAACAGCTGGAGTTCATCAGCTTAATTTTACACTGAAGTAAATAAAAAGCACTTCTGCAACTGACTGTGCAAACCATTGGTACAGAGGCAGTACAAAAACATCTGAGAGCTGTAGCACAGTAAACTCTACAGCTACTTGCAAAGCAACTGTGCGTCTTCATCTCTTCCAGACCATCTACAGAGCATTTACATTACTCAGATTATTTATGCTTATGGAGAATGTAAACTATCAGCTTTGCCTGAAGAAGAAAGAAAAAAGAACATCAAATTTTGATGCATAAAGTGATTGAGGCTTTTTTTTCTTGCTGGTTCTTACCAAACCAGTTCAATGCAACCCTATTTGCCATATAACACTGTCTGCTATATCACAGCATAGTAAATACAACATTTAGAAAAACAAAACCAGCATGTACCACCTACTCCAGTTTTGGTGTTGGTTTTGTGAAGAACTCATTGTAAAGCTGGTGTTCATCCTGACATACATGGACCATAAAGGCACAACCACTTCGCACCTGTATTCACAGAAAGGCAAATGCTTGATTACTAAATTATTTTTCTCACTTCAGTAGCACAGGAGCTATTACAGACACTATATTATACATCATTATATTGTATATTGCATTATCAATATTATTATTATTGCTACAGTTATGATTAAATTGAAGCTTTGTGAAATTCAGAATTATTGAGATCAACTAAAAAGATGTTACGAGCCAAATAAAAGCTTATCGTGCAACTTCTGTCCCTTTTTGTTTCTGATTAAATTTAAGTAACCACATTTTATGCTTTTGCAAATATCCCCTTAAGTAGCAGAGCAGTTTTTACAGAATAATCTTCCACAAAACATGCATTACTTGAAAATATTAGTAAAATTTTAATGATTCAAAAACCAGAAACGAAACTGATAATTCTGCATGTAAATGACTGCATTAAGTAAGTACATTTTACTTGGGAGGGGGAGAATTAAAACATAACAAAAACCCCACAATACATGACTACTTTACCTACCAGAGCACAATGGTCTCTGTTGTTCTGACTGGTTAATTCTGTAACAGTGCTAGCAATACTTGGACCAAGCAAAAGCTCCCTCTGGTCAAGGTAACACTGATGGATTTCATTGAGAACTTGTTGATACCTAGCCAAGAAATTAAAAGAGTAACTGCATCCTGAAGATCATTTTCCAGTAAGGTAAAATTCATTCTAATACCCTCTTTTAGGTCTACATAATTTCAATTTTTAAAACTTTCTTTTAAATGAATAATGTGTTAAACAGTACTTAAACAAAAGTAAAGATTTTCAAAACTTAAAATTATTGAAAATAAATTATGTAGACATACTCACTCCGGCATTTTTTCAGATCTTTGCTCTACTTGTTCAATAAGAGTCTACTCAACAAAAAGAAAAAACTATTATCAGTAAATTATTTTTTCCTAATAATTGGAAAATAGTTTGCAGTCTTTTTCCATGGACACAATATGCAATCTTTGGACATTCACACTTGCACAATATGTAATCCTTGCATTCACACTACTAATAAATTCAAACCCCATTTTCATAGCTTCCCTTTTAACAGTTAGTTCCCAGCCTACTTACTCTGACTTTGGGAGCAGCTGCTCTGAATTTTACATAAAACAGCGTAAAGGCATTGTCAGAATTTGGCACAGCTGAAGGATCCTGAAAGAAGAGATGAGTAATTGGTTAAAAAGGAGAATACTATATTTGGCTTGTAGTATTTAATGGCTGAGATAATTAGGCTCTGGTTCTTTACGCTTATACTGCCAGTGGAACAGCCCTTTGCCACTTTCCACCTAGAAAGGCACTCTTGTTTCAGAACTCAGCTAAAGCCAGATGGAAGAACAAAACCCAAAATAAAAGTTTCAACAGTCTCTACAACAAAGTAACATTTTCAGTAATTACAGCATTCTCCACTAGAGACAATATTCTCTGGACCTGCCACAGTAGTACTGATTGTTGCTCCTTAATCTACAGTACTAAAATGGAACAAAATTTCCCTTTTATCTCACAGTCCTAGGTAGAGAATCTAAGTTTCAGCTCTCATTAAAGCTTCAACTGGAATGTCAAGTTTTCTCAAGTTTTCTCAAGTTTTCCCTGCCACTTCCCAGCTTAGCTGGACAGACAGCTTGAACTTAGACAAGTTCTACCAGTAATGAACCAGAGCAGAGACCAAATTTAGCCACCAGGCTTTTTTCCCCTTATCCCTACTGATGAAATAAAGAGAAGCAGACGGCCTTCCCTTGAAACATGGTGGGGACTAGAAAACTCTTCCACCTTCCCCATCTCCTTTCAACCCCGTGAGCAACCTGATCATCCTTATACACATGCAGATCAAAATGCCCAAACACTCACATGTGAGAAGTAAAAAAAGAACATCTAGCTCTCATCAGTCCCTTTCCAGTCCTGACAAGACCTCTTGTTGTGTTGCAACAGGAAATCTCAACACTTGATCACAACTGAAGACCACTGGTCCAGTACTGCACTTCTAGCAGAAGCAGAGAAATATGCAAATATCCACAAAACTGCCATGCAGATGGGAAGGAGGAGGTCATCTAACTCCTAAAAGAGGTCTCCTTCCTGACTTGAACCTCCTAAGCAGCAATTCAAATCCAGAAGGTTTTACTTCTTTCTGTAGTCATGTTTATTACCAGAGATATTCAGTTCCACTTCAATTTAGCTCAGTCATTGCAATCAATTGGCATCAAACCAAGCTATGGTACTTTTTTTAGAATTAAAAACTAGCTTTATACCAAACATGAAAAATGTTCAATGACACTTAACCAAGATCTTCACTCCAGAAGTATCCTTTAGCAAGCTTTCATAAGCATTGTCTAAAATCTCCTTCTTCAGGTTTACCAATTCTCAATTCTATCATATTTCAATTTCACTGGTTATCCCTCACAACAAGTTTGCCTGTAACAGGACTGAGTGTAAGGCATACAACAATTAATTGGAGGAAGGAAGGACGGACGAAAGTGGATAGAAAGAGACATTCTCCTCTTTCTCCTCTGCCAAAATACTGCAGCACTAGACTGTTAACATTTTAATGAGAACAAGAAACCTCCCTATTTGCATTCATGCCTAAGTCCTACTGAAGTGAGTAAAGCATCTAACTCTAACCCTGTGACTCTCTAACATTGCTGTCAACTTTTTCAAACTAACCAAAAGATATGCCAGAACTATTAGGGACTTGTCACAGTTATTCTCTGCAGCTACACATACACTGCAGACTTATCAGAAAGAAATATTTAGATGACCAAGAGCATCCAAGAATACTCATTGAAATATAACACTGAAAGTCATGTCATGAACTCAAAGAGTTGTCATGCTTTAACAGTTTTCATCCTACGACATGCAGCTCCTGTATACTTTCTGCAAGTATTCCCTGCAACCTCTCCGTCTCTAATGATCCAACTCCAAAACAGGCCCCCACAGTACTTGTATTTCTCATGTGCACCTTCCCTGTTTGACAACTGAGATGGCAGCGTGTGCTGTAGCTGAAACAGAGCTAGTGTGCAAACTGGTTCAGGAAAGCTGCCTGGCTGCTGCCTCTCAGTTGTTTATCCATCCCTGGCCTTCACAGAGGTTACTGTTCACCTATCTCAATTCACCTACTTCATCATCTTCAATATCCAGCATTTTTTAATTATTATTTTAAAATCTTTTGGGTCACTAGGTCTCTGTCAGATTCAGCTGAAATTTGGCCAATCTACATAAACACTGTGGTATAGGACTGACCTATTTTCACACAAACTTGCTGACACCTCCCACCCTCAAAAATAAAAAAACTGAACAGTGTTACAATAGACATTTCAGTACAGCTTGAGTTACCATTTACTGATTTGACCTTACCCTTTTCATTAACTGGCTTGTGAGGTTCTGTAGTGTATTCACAGTGTATGTCTTGATAAGGTGCATAGCTTTAGAAAGGCATTGTTTAAACTTAACCAAATATACAGGATAGTCTTTAAAATTTGGCTGAAAGAAATAAAAAATCCATTTCAAATACAAACAATAAGAGTCGAAAATTTATCAAAACTTTAAATACTATTTTACTAGCTAGAAATACTAGTTTGTACAAACTAAAAGCACTATTTCATAAAAATTAAACAATATTAAGCACATTGAGTAAAAATTTCTTAAGTTTATAAACCATTATCTTTGCTTTCTTACTGTATTTGGCAGAGATAATATTTTACAGGAAAAAAATACCACAAAAATTTTATTAATACATACTTTTGAAACTATTAAGATTTAACTAAGAACAATACAGAATTACTTACATGCGATGAAATATATGCAATACAATCATCAAGCTTAGCCAGCATGGGAATGAATCCTTCACTGTTCACAGAGAGTGTAGGGGAATTCAATTTCTTTGAAAAACAAGACAAAGCATCATTGTAAGGAACCTGAGTAACTTAGTATTGGTGACAAAGTTCAAAAGATTGGTACACTTTAATTTTCTAAGACTAAAAAACAGTGAAATAATACTTACGGTGTTGATGTTTTCCAGCTCATTAAAATAAGAAAGTTTCTGCTGGATGTTTTCAGCCAGATCAACAAGTTCTGACTATTAAAAAACAATAAATGAAAGAAAATCAGCAACCTAACAAGTACTTTAAATATATATATTTTATATAAATATATATATAAAATTATTCAGCCTCCCTTTCAGCTCTCAGCACACACCAGTGTTAACTAGGTCTAGATAACTTACAACTAAGTCAGTACAACAAAAGATGCAGAATACAGCGGTGCTCTCTTGCTCTCTCTTACCAGAAAGAGACATATTACTCTCAATAGTCTATTTAAAAACATATATTCTACAGGTTTGTCAGCATTCCACAGATACTACTGCATACAAGCAGCAGTGCTGTCGTCAGTATTACAGAGAACTGTAGAAATCCTGTACTTCAAGACTGGAGACAACTTAAAAGTTCTCACTTATCCAGTCATGCTAAAAAGACATGTTCATTATATCTCTGTTGGAGCAGTTCATGAGGAGAAAGAAAGTATCTAGGAAATAAGCTTATAATGTAAAAACAAAAAAAAATCTTATAATAACCAGCTCAAAATAGTTCCATAAATTATTAATCTCAATCACGTCTGCACTTGTCAGGCATCAGTTTAAAAAGTTCATCTAGCTATCTCCTTCTCAATTAAAGTGCTTATCAACACAAAATGAACATTTTACTGCACAGAGCCTGATACCCTAGCCGCAAGTGAAACACACCAAAGCAAATGGCAGGATTGTCACACTGCTCACAAGTTTTCCCAGCCTAAGAAAAATAAACTTTATGGTATCTTAGAAATTTCCAGTAATCCTCCCATCAAAGATTACCTGCTCTTTCAGAAGTTGTTCACAGGCCTCGTGCAGCGTTCCCGTCTTTGTGGACACAAAGAGATACTGTTTTTTCAGTGACTCCAGGTGCTGAAGGGCACTATTCACATCATTCAAGATAGCATCACACTGCTCCTGAAAGCCAGACAAGTAATCCCGCATTTGCCTAGAAAAAGAGAATCAACAGAAGTAAAATTTCACTTGCCGTATTTGCAAATCCAGCTGCCTGCAGTGACACTGCCACTACCTTTCCCTCTCTAGGAATATATGATCACTTGCATCAAGCAAGAGTGCACAATAAGCAGATGTTTAATGACCCACAGAAAAAAACATAGCTACAGGGTTTGGAACAGTCACTATGATAACTCCATTTTCCTGTCATTCCTTATAGCAAACCTACCCAGAAAGCAGCAGCATGCACCACAGCTAGTCTGGAGCACATGAATACTGTCTAAACAGACAGCACAAACAGAAAGACTACTTCAGGTTACTTCTAGCAGCCAAATTCCACTTGCCTTGCTTCTAATAGGAGTGTTGTTATAATCTGGGTCTTTTCTATACAGTTTTCAGTTTCCATTCAGAAATTACTTTTACTCTCCCCTAAAGCAGCTGAAATTATCCAACAGGATTCAAAACTTAGTGTGCAGATGGAAAGTGCCTTAAATGAAATAGATCTGGTATCTAATGTCTCCAAGTTTATCTAAAGCTCAGTGAAGATATAAACTCCAAATGATCACTAAACATATATCAAACATTCAGCTTGACTAAAATATAATTTAAAATTAATTACTCTTGGATGTCAGCTAAAACTTCTGAGCTCTACTTTACCACATACCAAGCAGCAAGTAAAATTACAATTCTCTGTAATCATGTGCAATCCTTTAGTTGCAAAAGGCAAAAGACAACTTATTTTCCTCCTGTTCCTCTGGCCTCCTGCAAATTACATATTGGCCATCCTATAAAGCATTCTGCATCCATGGCACACTTATGTATTCATGTGAGCTATTATGAAAATGTCAAGTGACAAGTAAAAGGGTGTTACTCTTTTTTTAGATCTTTTTAGGCCCATCTGATCATGGGCTTAGTATATGCCTAAACCTCTGCTTTTAGAAAACATCACATCCTCAAATGTCAGAGCAAGAGAAGAAGAGACAGACCAAGGAAAAGCTGAGAAAAACAGAAGAAGGGAATACAGCAGCATCTTTTTGTGGCCAAGGGCAAGTTTGTAAAGTCTCAAAACACAAGACAGTTTCCCTAAAAGCCATCGGTGGATTTGGCTAAGCCATTCAGCTATACTTCAGACTCTTGAAGAGTAACCGCAGAAGTTAGTGGGAAAAGGTTCTTCCGAGCCTGATGGAAAAGTCAGTTTGACAAAAATAGATGAGAATGCCAAGTCTCAAAACCAGAGTTGAGCAAAGTGTCAAGGAATGCTGGGAATGTAGATACAGAAACACAGCCATAGTCACTGCAGAAATGACAACCAGCCACACCTGCTTACACAGTCTCGCCCTCAGAGGATGCCATTTCAATACCAGCAGCAGTTGAAAAGGCATACGAAAGCTCTTAGATAGCCTCTGTCTACAGCCCTGTCCAGAAGCCAAAATTAATTTCAATCTGGCTTAATATACTGGGCAGTTCAGAATGAAATCGGAGGCCCTTTTAACTGCTCTGTCACAAGGGCAATTGTCTTCAGGATGGGTGTAGGGCATACTGCCTTGGAAAACTTCAGCTGTTCCAACATATTCCCCCATTCCTCACCAGCTGAATCTGAATGCGTGCTAACATTACATTGACACGATGAAGTCCTTCAAGGTTTAAATTGCTTACAGTGAAAGGAACTGAGGAAGAACACATACCTATACTTGGCACCTTCATCTTGATCCATCTGTGTTTGTACCTGAGCAAACCAGGAGAAGAACTAGAAGAGATTTTATGGTGTGAATAACACAGATATCACATGAAATAAATTAAAAAAATAATCAGATCTATGAAATTAAGATGAGCTTTTGTTAAAAACAGAGCTCTTCCATAACTTAATTATTAATCAAGCAAACAAACAATTAACTCCTCATTGTAGGTCCCTTCCAAATGAAATACTCTATTCCTCCACTAAATTAAAATGGGAAAGACTGAATTTCATCTGGCTTTATTTGCACAAGAACAGGCTGTGACATTAGAAAGAGTGGGAGGGGGCATGACATCCTTCTATATTATGACACCACCAGCTTACTAAAGGGGTGCTTTACTCTCACATAAGATTCCACTCAAAATGGGAAAAGTATCTGTCACTTAAGAGCTAAGACTTCAATAATTTTTTCCCCCCACGTTTCTTCATGCATCTTGAAAACAGACCAAAAAAAATGTAACAAACCCACCAAAAGCTATGCAAGAGACAAATCTCACAGAATTCTCTGAAGATTACTGCAACTTGGAGGTTATTCAGCATCACTTACCTGTTGTGCTGTTTCAATTCTTTCATCCTCCATCCCCAGCACAGCAAATCCTTTTAAGAGGACATCCTCTGTGGATTCTGGCACTGCAGCTGTCAGCGTGACAGTTAGTGACTGAGATGTTAGGCTGCACAAATCTTCAATCGGAAGCTGCTTGCAAAACCCCAGAAATTTTAAAGAACTTACTAAGAATTAGTATATTCAGCTCAATTACAGTAACACAATCCAAAGCATCAACTTAAGAAAATCACAGGCATCTACTTTTGAAGAAACAAATGCAATGGACGTTTTATCAATATGATAATAAACCAACAAGTACCATACCTATATATTCAGAAATACCTAACAATGTTTTTTTTAAGTCAGAAAATATTATACAGCATTTTATACACGCACACGTCTGTGTAAGAACAGAAACTGAATGTACGTGTACCTGACATACTAATGAGCTATACTTTAATTTCCAATTTAACTGGTTCTATACACAGAGAAACACACTAGAAAGTGTCTGAGAACATAAGAATTCAGAACACAGACACAAAAATAAATGCCACTGTTGTCTACACTACGTGGCGACACCACCAGACAGGGATTGTCATATTTTTTTGCCAGACATTCAGAGAAAACTCAAGACTTAACACTGCAAGAATTTATTCAGGAAATAGTGTTTTAAACGCTTTTATTGAAGAAGTCAAGCTAAAAAGAAAGGAGTTTTTTTCAGAAGACAGGAAATAGCTCTGCTGAAGGGGCATTATTGGCCACAATGACTTTTTAAGCAAGAAAAATATGGAAAAAGTAACTTGAGAGAAATTGTATTTAAGTATGATTGGAGACTATTAATTAGTTTATATGGAAGAAATTAATTCATGAAAAAAAAAAATCCTTAGATAGTGTTAATTACCCTTTTTAATTCACTTGACCAGTAAAGTACATTTCCTATTGCTGAGAACATCAGTAATACAAAAACAGAAAACACTACTTAAAATACAAATTGGTATCTTTCTAGAAAATTACCCAGTTAGTAAAACATTCATTGCCTGGTAATATCAGTCCACCAAAGAAAGAACAATCAAGAGTTCAACTATTTGAGAAAAGGCAGATTGACCTATCTTGTTCAACTTCCACATCTTTCTCACCCACGATCCAAAACAGGCAGGACCCTAGCTGGGGAGCCAGGGTTTCTCTCATGCCTGCTACTGAGGAAAAGATGAGTCCATCAGAGCCTGATTTTTCAAAGAGCTGAGACACCACAGTCCCAATCCACTTCAGCAAGAGCCAAGACCAGCTGAAGTACTCAATGTCTTAGCATCCCTGTTGTCCTGACTGGCAAATATGGTACCTGCCTTGTTGCAAAGCTGGTTTAGATCCTTGAGAACATCCCTCCAATAGCACTACATCCTTTTACAATCATTTTGGATGCCTGCCAATATTTACTTCAGTGCAGTTGCATACAGTTTACATTAAAAAGAAACGAGGAAGCATGAGATGAAACAGGTGCATTTCAGGAAGGAATTGCTCTACCCCCTCCCCTCTGTTACTATGACCTTTCTGACTCTTGATGAGAACCAACTTTGTTGATTTTTAGGACACTGTATCTTGTGCTATGATCCTGTTCAAATAGAAAACCTCTCATGAAAAGTGCAGTTAAGGAATGCAAACGTTTCATTCCCCTTCTCTTTGTCGACAATGAGGCATTCATAAATATTCACCTCGTCAGAGTTTGATATTTTATAACTGAGTGGAGACCACGTCTTCCACGGCAATGACAAATTATTAAGCTTTTTACCCCTATTCCTGGCTCATCGAATCATCTGTAAGTCATATCAGGAAATAACTTTGGTGGCCGCAGCTATGCATTGATCGGAATCAACTTAAGAGGACCAAACCCATGTAACTCCGCGACTAAAGCTTACAATTTCAAGCGGACAAACTTTGATGAACTGAGGGAAGTAGTAAAGGACAGGCTGAGAAAACCCCGTGGATCTTAAGAAGCAAACTGCTAGCGCTGCCCACACCCTCCCTGCAAGCCAGGGCGGGTGGGCAGCACGGCGGCATGAGGCGCCTCGGCAAGGCTGAAGGAAGGGCGAGACGCCGCGAGGGAGGCGAAACGAGGCGACGTGCTGGGGAAGCGGCTGTGGGCGCCGCGGGGAGCCGAGAGCTCGGGGCTAGAACGCAAAACGCTGCTGAGCAGCCCCCTAAACCCCGGGGGAGAGCGGCGGCCCCACAGGCCCCAGCC